ACAAACTTTCACCAAAGAAAGAGAAATTGTGGCTTTGGAAGATGGCTGAATGTTAATTGCTTCCCCTCTTTCAAAACACACATCTCGGAGGAAGATTTTTTCTTGTAATTGTATGAGGTCTGTGCTGCACACGCTAGAACAAGAGCAATGATATAAAAAGAAAAAAATAGGAAATAGATAATTAAGCTTGATAGATACCATATTGAAAAAAAAATGTCTGTGTGTGTTTTTTTAAATGAAAAACCTGAGTTTCAGCCCAAGAACAACTGTTAGGCAATATGTTATCTTCAGAGCCCCTTGATTTCTTTTACCTTACCTGATGTAAATTGTATCCATTCAAAGTGTTAGTAGATTGCTAATGAGAAAGACAACTGGTCTACTTCTATTTCTCATGTCAATAGTCTTGGCTACTGCTGTAACTAAGGCATATATCATTAACGCAACTACATTTTCCAAGTGTATACCAGGTACTGTAGGTCCAGCATCTCTGGCTGCAAGAGAAATGGACAATTTGTGGCAGCCAACCAACCCATACTGCCTGTGTTCTGAGAAAACCCACATGGAAAGTACCACATGAAAAAGCTTATGTCTGGAATCTCATCTGGGACTGGAAAACTAACTGCTTTACCACTGTGCCACTACAGTAGGCTGGGTTACTCACCAATGCAAAGGGTTCTTTTGATTACAAAGATAGATGAATGAGAATTCAACTGATGTATAAGCAATTCTCCATTTTACATATATCCAACAGGAAGAAAATAATCGCTTAGACTTCATTCATTTAGTATTTTATCATTGTGCTAAATTCATATGAGTATAGTCATTACATCTTCTATGCTGTATACATGTATATACACAGTATGTAAAGGAAGGAAGACAGTGGTCTTGTGAACCTAGAACCACCATTTTTTTCTTATTCTTCAGACTCAAATAGAAATTAAGTTTCTTCTTAAGTAAGTCTGGATGCAAGTACCAAAATGTATTAAAAGTCTTGTAGAATAGCAAGCCGATAATTCTCTCCTTTATCTTCTGTGCAGAAGCATTGTTCCAAAGTTATGCTTTTCTTAATAGACTCTATAAAACACTTTTCTCAGTTCTGCTCCTCCCTCTGTCCCTTTTCCATGTGGTTATGATCCCATTTCATTTACCTCAATGGAGGGACTTTTTCTGTGCTTTAAAACGTTTAGTGATATTTACTGACATCTAGTGTTCAAATGTGTAAATTGCTCTAAAATATCCAAACATTTTCCAAAAGTGATGTTTCTAAATTATTTCATTTAACTGATGAAAATTGATGCTTTTATCCAAAGTACTTGCACTGCTACAGTGAAATGCCCAGATGAATAAACTGGAACAAATAAAGTTGCTTTGGATAAAAGCATCAGCCAAATAAAATCATAATTATAATGTTTTACCAACATCAATTCAGACAATTTCACTGAGATGCTAAAATATACACAGCCAGCTGCTGCCTCTTAGGTCCTGGAATTGATTCTAATCCTGGAGTGCTATCTCGGAGGAGTCTGCTCTCCTGATGTGTGCGAGAGGCAACAATTTTCTTCAGACACCCCCATTTACTCCCAAAGACCGGTTTAATAAAGACCAGTGTGTTACTGGTGTGTGCCCAATGAATGAACTGGAATTCCATGCAGGAAGCAATGCCATATTCATCAGCTGGAAATAAACACACTTTGAATACATCCCTGCAAAAAACTGAACAAGTTTGTAATTCATAGTAAAAATGTGGAAGAGAAGGATCTCTTAAAAGAAAAAAAATAAGTACAAGAACTGCTCTACACTATACAGTATGTGTATTAAAGATAAACCTTTTTTTCAGCATGATAAAATGTGGTTATACTGTATAGTACAGTATGTAATGTCCATTGATTTTAAATATTTCAGCAATTTGCTATTTTTATTAAAATGTAAACACGCATCAAAAAATGTGTTGAACTTGTATTAAGTCAATAATCAAAAAAACATTTTGAAAAAAATATGGTCCACAGGCAGATGCTTGCGGGGTTATCTGAGAGCTGAATAGTCATTTAAAACTATAAACATATCCCCTGTTTTTCAAGAAAGTAAATTCACTAAAGTCATATGTAGATGTTTAAAACATAGAAATACTTTCCATTATGACTCATTTTCTTCAGTAAATTAATTGGAAGGCATTTTTATCCTGGGAAAAGCCTTCTGCCTCTTGTATTTCAGTGTGCTTACAAAAGGGAAAAGCACATCCGTATTGCGTATCAGATCCCAACCTTGAATTTGCCAAATTGAATTGACCAAATAGCCCACCTGCTTAGAACAGCACATCTGAAGGACCAGTGCTGTTCATAATTTATATCCATAATACATAGTGTATTCTGGTATAGTCAGTTAACAAGTCAAAGTAAAAAATATACCAAAATCCAGGTGGTGCAATCACTACTGATACCACCCATTTTCCCAGCTCATTCCACAGAGATGTTGAATGGGGTCCAACTCTAGTAATCAGGGCATTCACACCATCAACATACTGTACCTGTCACTCTCTCTTCTGGTATGAAGACATGTTTTTACATGAGGACATGTACTGTCCTACTGTGCTGTTTTCTAGAACCCTGTATTCATAAACATACAGTACAGTAGTTACAAGTTTTATTAGGTTATTTTTTTAGTCTTAACACAAACACCTCTCTGTACTGCCTGTCTTAATTTAATTAAAGTATAAGAATTAATAATTAATAAGAATTAATACATTTTGGTCAGTATTTGTATACTTCTACTAGTGTCCACTTACATCATGACTCATAAAATAATGTGAATGTTTCCTAAATACCTTTTTTAACATTTAAATCTCTTCTTGTCAGTCACACAAAACATTCACTCCATATTTACATCTAATGGAAATCTAAACTTCCCTAGTTTTATTTTAAAAGTGATATTTATTTAAGGTCTTAATTGATATTTACAAACTAAAACCAAATTAAGAGTGATATTTGTTTAATTTAGGAGTCCTGCTATTTATCACATTTACTCTTTTACAGTATTCTTTTTTCTAAGCAGATACGTATCATATCAGTGTATATTGTGAGTATATTGCACTAAAACCCAGGCAGTTTTTTTTTATTAATCTCACTCTTTAAAAAATATATTGTAATTATTCCGGTGTCACCTTATTGAAATCATTTGCATACATGAATTAAATTTCATGTACCTTCAATTATTAAGTTAAGATATTACATTCTTGTAAGAATTCTGTTTGACTTTCAAATTAAAGTTCAAGAATTGCTGTTGGTCTCAATGAAGAAATGCTGTAGAAATGCACACATCTTTAAATACCTGCCAGTTTGTACAGCTTAGCTGTAACTAAATGTGGATAGTTTGAGGAAGGAGTATATCTTTGTGGTCTATCTTGCTGCCCATGTCCATTTTCAAAGCACTGATTTCCCAGACGTACATTTTGTATTTCTAAGGAAATTCCCAGTATAGAGGAATCACCATAGATCGATATGTGAATTTACCATTTCCCTTGGAAACACAAACAATTACAGGTTTGTATGTTGCATTAAATAAGTCTCATCATCCTTGGTATTTTGCTTTGTAATCATATCTTGTGAGTCCAAAATTTAACTTGGGCATTATTTTTGGCATTTGTCAAGCCATGTGATATGTGATATTTTGAAATTAATCTGGACGTTGACAGTCTGTGTTCACTTACAGTCTCCCAGTGTTTGTTATTTGATGTACTGGTTTGGCATAATGTTGGCATTAATTACTTTGCATAATCATGCAATGCTTTCACCCATACTGTACATAAACTTCAACTCTCGGTTTAAAAGTAACATTTACCCAGCACGGTCACTAGAGGTCGATACATTTCCGTTTGTTTTCTACCACATACTGTAGTTTCTTGAAAGCTGTAATTAGAGTAGCGGTTCCGTTTGCTTTTATAGAAAGCAAACTATGTTATGTACAGTATATGTTATTGTTTCCGTGTTAATGCATCTGTACGTGTTAGAGTCATTGATATCTCAAATCAGTGATCGTAGAACCCCGGTCCTCACCTGCTCGTTCTAACAGCACAAAGCTTTAACGAACAGATTTCTTCACGGCAAACCGATAACACTATGAATCAGAGCTAGGGTTTCTGACTATTTAAAAAACGCATATACGTATTTTCACATACAGTATAAAGAACGGCCGGTACAGTACAACATAGGAAAAGTATGCTTACTATGATCTGTTTTGGAACTTGCTTTTTGAAAATCTTCGTACAGTGTACTTTATTTGACTGATTAAATTGAATCCAAATCAGAATAAAATATTGTTGTATTGTACCTCATGTTTCATTTCACTAGGTTGCAATATCAGTGTACAGAAAGTCTCTGTACCACTTGTTGAACTATTACCTCATATACTGTATGGTTGACTATGAAATTGTGTTAATATATTGTACAGACTGTGACTGTTTTACTGTGACATAAATGTCTGCTAAATAAAGGGTAATAAAACAGATTTTGATGATGATTATGATTATTATGGAGAAAGCACTGTAAAATAGATTAGCAAGTGAATAGAGAACCTCTAAATCTATTGTAAGAACAATTTGAAATAAAGCAGCAGACCTCTACAAAGCGTGACATCGTTCTGAGAAGCGTGACGGCGGGAGCCCGAGGATGCTGAGATTGCCACAGGGTGACCGCAGAGGGTACCACACCAGTGTTGTTGAATGTACCATCAACATAGTAACAATTAAAAACCATGTCCCCTACATGTTTTAGAAGATTAAGTTATACATAAAATGGGATTACTGTACATGAACTGCATTACATTACAAACCTACTGCCTATGAAAAACCGATAGGTTAATGTACGGTGTGAAGTTTTTTTAAAAATATGCTATCCATAGCAACCTCGATTGCAAACGAAAAATCACGCTAAATCAGCGGGAAATTGCAAATTAAATAATTTGATTTATAGCGTATTTTAATCAGCGGCAGTCGCTAACTACTGACGATGTCGTTCAAAGACGAATACTGACTAGGAAGTGCGATCTTTTTCCACGCAGCAGAAAGTGTTTTGTTTTGTTCTTTGTTCGTCTCCTGCAGTAAATTGCCGAAGGGTAAACACGGCTAGTATGACGTGAATTAGGAATGCTAGACCACGCTGGGGTCCTGGAGCACAAACACTCTCACACGCCGTTTTACAGTAGGAGACAAGAGTCGCTGGAGCAACAACTGCAGCAATAATGAGGTTAGTATTTTCAGCAGTAAAAAAAAGGCAGCGACGTGTTTGCATAAAGAAAGCAACAGGTTTCGAGGGGGAAAAAAGTTTTGGAATTTTGATTACGAGGCGTGCAGTGCGTGCCGTTATTGTTACTGACAAAAGGCAACTGCCTTGGTTTATGTAATGCATTCATGTTTGAAGATTATTATTGATAGCAGTAGTATACGTCTTTATAAATTGAAACATTCGTGAAAATCATATATTTAATAGCTTAAAACCTGTATAATGTTTACTTGCCAATTAATCAATTAAGCATTGATTTCTTTTTTTAACGTGTGCAATTTGCCATCCCCCTACTCCGTTATACCTCGAATCTTACAGTCCCGTTTTTAGAATTTTTGAGGCAGATGGAATTTGATGAAAGAAAGGATAAAATTGAGTATTTTGTTGTTAGTGATAATTTTAAAAATATATCATGCCGTTTTAATGCATTGCAGGACTTAATTTGTGATCTTATTCCTTTGATTTTGCCTCGACTTCAAATAATACATTTCAAATTCTTTTAATAGACTAATAGGAACTACTTATAGTTAATCAAATGTAGTATCATGCTTAACCAGAATATATTCATAGAAAATTTTATACGCCATTATTCACAGGGGCCTACAAAAGTGTTCTTGCTACAGTAACAGGTGTGAATTTGTACTGTAGCTACAACTGCTGTTCTGATTAAAATGTTCTTTCTTTCTTGCACATCTTCACAGAATCCTGATAGGATTTTTCATCCTGTGTCTTCTTGTGCATGGGTGCAGAGGTATTGAATTAACTGGGATGTATGGTATCATCCAGTCTCCCAATTTCCCGGAGTCCTATCCCAAAGATTCTGAGGTTGCATGGAATATATCTGTCCCAGACGGATTTAAAATAAAACTTTATTTTATGCACTTTGACCTGGAACCATCCTACCTCTGTGAATATGACTATGTTAAGGTAAGAAAACAATCTATCTCTGGGTGTATACATCTCTGTTTTCACCACAATCTATTTTATAATACATTTTCTTCTTTTGCAAAATTAAATTGTGAGAGAGCCACGTTTATATTAGTTAAACAAGCACATACTGTATAAAAATATATTGTACAGAAAACATAATGAATCCAAGCTGTGATAGGTAAATGCCAACTATGTGGCAATTGAAAAACTATTAGTGTTATTATTTTTCATTCTGAATTTAACTTATCTTCTTAAAAACATGTTGCATACCTCAAGTGAATTATTATTTCATCTTTCATTTACCTCCTGTCAGTAAGGAAAGGAAACAATGTTCAGTAGTGTTCTCAATTAAAGTCGGTGAAATCCAAAGTGTTGTAAAATGCGATATCTGTCTAGTCATCCATTTTTGGTTGAAGTCTCCTACCTTACATAATACAGGAAAAATAAAGTCCATCAGCCAGATGATGAAAACTGCTTGTTGGAATTGCTGGAAGTTTGTCTTTAATGGCTTAAAATTAACAACAGGCCTTTAGTGCAGTTAAGTGTTATGAATTTATGATTGTAATGATTTAAAGATCACCAATGATTCCTCATCTGTTACTTGTCAAGCAAGCCTTCAGCTGGTAGCTAGAGCACTCTGCATTCCTACAGTTTCCAGATATATAAACACTGAGGTCAAAATCCCTAAATGGGGTTAACAGGGAGCCTCAGTTTGTGTACTTTCTGTGGATCATTTACTGAGGGAAGAGCAGGGACCTTAAATAGATAATGAAATTTGTTTTGATGTATCCCCTCCTGCTGTGCTCCCTTCCCACACCCTCCCAAGGTCAATGTGGTCAATCTTCTCACAAGCAAATACAGCACAGGGTGAAAGCTGTGTTGATTGGTGAACAACTGGTTTTCAACAGGCTGCAGAAGTATCACCCACACCAACCCTTATCAGAGTCGTTTAATGGTTGTTTCAAGGCAAAGGCTTTTGTAAATCCTGGACCTTCCAAATAATGATATGAAGACTGTGACCACCTCAAGATGGCCGGTCAAGGAAAAGTACTAGAAATTCAGAGTTTTGGCTCACAGAAGTGGAGATTGTGCTGCGCTCTTGAAGAGGTTTAAAAATATTATCCTATTCTGGCAGTTGCCTTCTGTTTACAAGGATAGGGGAAATAAATACTATACTATACTATAATACTATAAATACTAACCATGAGTTGTGCAGAATCAACAACACAATGTCAAGAGGGGTGGTTACTGGGGAATTATGTTACAGAAGAATAGGAAAAGGCCATGGCTTCTTGATTTCTTCTCTATGTTTCAGTTTTGATTGTAAAATGAGGTGGGTACAGAGGGTAATAATCTGAAGTCTTCAATCTATTTTGAGCTCTTCCTTTATAATTGTGATGCTGTAGTGAAAGCAGAATAAAGTCTAAATGCATTAAATCAATATAAAACAATTACAGATTTACTACTAGGAGCCTTGTATAAGAATTCATTTTGAAAAAGTAATTAAACCTACAAGGATTTACATATTTCTTATGTTTGCATTTGCATACAGTGCCCATAAGCTGCTTGACCTTATGAATGTTTTGTTTCTAATTGTTTGAGACTGACTGCCCTCTGCTAATTTGCTACTTCAAGTGACACGAAACATCCAGAAGGCTTAAACAAATACATAGTTCGCTTCTCATCTGGTGTTTGCGTTTCAGATTTTGGAGTCATGGATACTTTTTTTGTCTTCAACTTAATTTTTAGTGTGGGTGAGACTCATTAAAAAAATCCAACCAAATTGATTTTGCTTACATTCCAAAAGGAAGGCAGATTTTCTCCATGATGTAATCATTCCTCCGTGACTTTGCAGAGGAACTCTAGCTTCCTTCAGCCTTTGTCTGTGCCATCATCCCACTCTGCCACTCGCCATCTGTACTGTACATCTTTCAAAGCTGTTGATAATGCATGCTAACAAACAGGCTTGTAGAAATCAGTTCAAGAAGTCAAGACATTCTGCTCCGGGTTTTCCTGCTACTAGTCTGGAATACAACCAAAGGCAATTTTTTGCCACCTCCTGGGAACATTTGACCATGATTGGCTTCTGGGACAGCCTGGACTTAGCCCAAACCACACAGTCCATCCTACGCGTCAAACAAAGGCTTCTACCAGATGGACCACTCAAGAGCACCTATGATTGTGTTTATTTTGCAAATCCGTGGCTGTGAATTTAAATGCATTTAAACCAAGGTCTATATTGGACTGCAATCATAATTAACTCTGATCATGTCCTAGCATCTGCAAAGGAATGGCATACACAGACACATAACAAAAACAAGGAAAAAAATGTGCTCCCAAAGATTACACATGTGCTGTCTAGTGAAAAACAAAATAACAGAATATATTGGGTGCAGACTCTCTCTACTCCAAAGTAATGTATTTAGTCATTCACTTGTGACTATCAGCAAACGCATGCCTTCACACCTTTGGCTAGACAGAGATCTCATACTGTTAGGCAAGAGATCTTAATTGTTGGTATCCTTGCGAGAGGAGAATCCCTTTTTTTAAAAGAAAAAAGACAACCGTGGAATAAATACATCCATCAGGCCAGGAATACAATTAACAGTTATTTTAGGATGCATACATCATAAGCCACATACTGTAGATGCATTGAAAGAACTTAATCTCTTTCTCAAGCAGAGGAGATAAAGCCTTGAAATACAATATTAGATTACTCCACCAGAGAACACCATGATCAACACTAAAACATAAAGACACAAATTGAAACTAAGCCAAATTTAGAGCTAAGGACAGGAAGCACTTTTACAAAGTAGGGTTGGCATCTGGAACAGCTACATTGTAGAATCTGATTCCTTGGATAAACTCCTCTCGTTTGCAATCTTTCTTATATTTCTTATACTCTCATGAACTTCTTTTTTCTCATTTGACTCTGGGGGTTATTGACACAACTAAATGCTATTTCTGTTAAATTTTCTTGACTGGTCTCATTTTACAAATGTGCTGACGGGGATGCCATTGTGTGTAATAATTATCCCTCACGACACTTTGATTAGAAATAAATTAGAATGCCTTGAAGTCTCTAGCATAATTCAATCCAGATCCAATCCCAGCATGAAATGCATATCTTTGAGTAACTGTTTGTAGGCTATGGTGTCAGAGCTGGAAGGGAAGACTAGAGATTTAAAAATATACCTACTACTTTAAGAAGGCAGATACAGCCAAGGCCTTGGTCCAAGTTATTCATGTTACCCTTGAGCTTGAGAAATATAGGAAATTTGTCTGAGAAGTGGCTGCAAACACCCTCATGCAGTAGTCCTAGGCCACAAAGATTTTGTTTTATGAAACTAAAGCCAGTCAATCAAAAGCATAATTCTTGTGAAAACAAACGCTGTACATAAACTACAAATATAGAAGAAAGTATACAATATACCTATGAAATGCAAGCACAGAAAGTATACTGTACATGCAAATACAATACTGTATATATATATATCCATTATTAGAAAGCTGCTTGCAGTTTGTCTGGTGAGGGTTGTAGCCACCCAGAGCCAATTGCAGAAACAAAGGTCAAAAGGAGGAAACTCTAAACAGGAGGCCAGTCCATCATAGGACACAGACACTGAAGAGGACAATTTAGAGATGCCAGTGCACACAGTCAGTGTGCCTTTGTAAGGTGAGAGGAAACCGACACACAAACATGGCTGTTTTGGAGGTAAAAGGGGGTCCTACCCGGTACATCATCCAGGTGGATGCTGCACATTGGTGGTGGTGGAGGGGAGTCCCCATTACCTGTAACAGTGCTTTGAGTGGAGTGTCCAAAAAAGCACTATATAAGTGTAAGCAATTATTATTATTATTATTATTATTATTATTATTATTATTATTATTATTATTATTACTAGATAGATGTACCTAATAAAGTGGCCACTGAGTGTATATTTAAAAGCCTTAGAATTAAAAGCAAAGGTGGTGGTTATGTTAAAATTGTATAATACACCAATAAGGCCTCATTTAGAATATTGTACATGTTTGGGTTGCCACATCATAAAAAATATTTTGCTGCTCTGAAATCCATCCAGTGAGGAGCAACCAGAACTTGCCAGCTACACACAGGGGCCCCATGGTGCAGAATCAAACCTGGGGCCCTGGTGCCACACTGAAGGGCTGTGAGGCTACAAAGCTAACAGCCAGGCCACCCTACACCCCCTTTTTATCTACAATATCAATGTTATCTTTAAAATGTATAAATTGTAGTTGAATCATTCTGAGGATGTACAGGCTTGTAATACTTTTATTTCACTTGAGCAGGTAGCTGCCAAACGGAGCTAATTATTACATTAATTTGACAAAGTAAAGACAAGTTTAACCAACAGCTGATGCTTTAAAGTGACCAATTGAAACAGGCACATCTTTTATTCACAGGGTCTTATTCTAACAGAGGCCTGGGTGATGCCTACTATACATCTACCCGAATAAGCCCTGTAAAAGAGGTATTTAGCCATAAAAAACTTAAATGAGGCAGTTCACAGTTCAGCAGTTTCTTGTTAATTCCAGATTTTGGAAAATGCTGTTACATTTACATGGGTTACATTTAGCCAACATTTTGAATGTGTATAGTCAATACAAACTTTTAAGACATAACGTATTAAATGGGACTAATTACACAATCACAATAACAATGATTTGAAGACCTAGATTCTTGGCTATTCTGCACATGGACTTTGTCACAGGGACTTCACTTGAAACTATTCTAGATAAGATTAAAAGAGAATTGCAAGAAACTCTTTTAGAGATTATGTAGAGGGGTATTAATTTTGTAGAGCTGAAATATTCATTTTTGTTTTCTCAAAATAAATCTGTTCTGGTTTAGTCCGAAGATATCTGTTGGTCAGGAGTGTTATTTCACAACAGTGTAAAACTGAATTTTAAATTAGGTTTGGCATGAAAAGGTGGTTTGTGACAGGATTCCACAGTCTCATGCATCGTTAGTAATG